AAGCCCCTAAAGCCCTAAACCCTTAACCCTAAAACCCTAAACCCTAATCCCCTAAAACCCTGAACCCTAAGCACCTAAAGCCCTAAACCCTTAACCCTAAACCCCTAGAGCCCCAAAAACCCTAAACAGCCGAGGGCCGAGGATCACAACTTCGAGGGACAGTTCTGGAAACTCTGCCCTAAGCCCAACGGTTTAGGGTTTAGGGAAGTAGGGCTCAGGGTTTAGGGGAGTAGGGTTTAGGGTTTAGGGATCTAGGGTTTCGGGTTTAGGCACTTCGGGCTTAGGGTTTAGGGAAGTAGGGTTGAGGGTCTAGGGCTTGAGGTCTGAAGCGCATTTTTGGGTAACTGTAAAGGACATCATCATGGTAAGTAATCATAAAGCGTGTAAGTTTCCTAGGATCCGGGCAAGAGACTTCGACTGTCAAAGCTTCGGTCCTAAATGCCAGGTCAGGGTTCAGGGTTTAGGGGTTTACTTGGGCCCAGGGGACTTACTAAGTAGGTTCTAAGTAGAGGTATAAGTACCCTAACTGGAGTTACCCAAATTATAACCCTACTTATAACCGACTTACTAAGTCCACTGGACCTCCAAGTAGGGTTTGGGGAATTCGGGGGATCACGTTGCACCACCGCAATCTTCAAAGTATCGATGCTTGTGTTGCGTAGGGCTGGATGATGACCCCCTTGAGAAGGGTTTGGGCTTCCCTGAGCCCAGAGAGCCCAATATCCTTTAACTAAGGAATATATTAAGTCATAATAATAAGCCCCTTATGGTTTAAGGTATATTGCTTAAGTAAGGGGTATTGGGCTCTCTGGGGAGTAGTAGTCGCCTCTCACTTAGAGTTTAGGGCCTAGGAAATAGAGGACCCCACATCCTTGTCCTGAACATTCTTACAGAAGCCGGATCACCCGTCATGACCCCGAATTCTAGCAAGCTGTGTGGGGCAGGTCATGTTTTGGAAGAAGGGCGATGCTGCGCGCTATTTGAGCTCCAGTGTGCGGCCGAGACTTCGGGGCTGATTGGGAAGCTCATTGCCTAGGCCTACAGTCTTTTCTTACAGACGCTCACCGATCGCAGATGTGGGGCTTACTAAACTACAGGCGACATACGACGTATACTCTAAATATATTAGTAGGTAGTAGTGTATCATGTGGTTGTCTTCCTGCCCAGGCCAAACAGGTATCACAGGCTCGTCTGGAGACTACCTTATCTTGGCACAGGGTGAAGCCGTCAAGGCATCAATACTAAACCTGCGGAGGTAACGCAACTCTTGAAGCCGCGAGCATAGCCGAAGCTCTAAACCCTAAACCCTAAACCCGAAGCCCTAAACTCCTCTCCTAAACCGTTTAAAGCATTGAAGCCCCCTTCACTTGCCATTGCTAGAGGTTGGTCGAAGGAACCTAGCAGATCCTGACCTTGAGCTCTACTGGTTGCCAGGAAATATAGGGGCACAACTGATTCGAATAGGCTTTCGGGCGTCTGCTATACTGTGAATAGACAAGGGAGGCCCGGGAATAAAATCACTGTGCTGCGTCTATTCAGGCCCGTCCCTAACTCCAGCATCCTTGTGTTTCGCATTGCTACTCTCTAATCCGCTTTTCTAGCCACTACTCAATTCTCGCGTTTTGGTTCTGTTAAGAAGCATACACAATAGGCAGGTAGCACAGCTGCTAGAACCGTTGCACGGATATTGTAGTTTACCCCCAAACCCGCAAACCTAAACACTAACCTAGTTCGTAGGATGAGCGAGAGTCGGGCACGAAGCATATCGCACACGCATATCACTAGATCTTAGGAGCATCGCAACAGTATGCCCAAGGTGTAAGGGGTTTAAGGGTTTAGGGCTGCTAAGGTTCAGGGTTTTAGGGCTTGGTGGGTCGAGCATTAAACCAGAAACCGCAAAAAGGACATCGAGTCTCTAGGAGTAGCTTTCCTCTAGGTTTAGGGTTTAGGGTTCAGGGCCCTAAACCCTAAACCCTAAACCAACAGAGCCCTAAGCTCGTGGACCGAAACATCGCACTCCAGGCTTTGAGCGGTGGATTCCCTGCCGCGTCGAGGATGTCGACCAGGAGAAGGCCTGGACGTGGGCCGGAAATTTCGGAAGCTTGGAACCCCCAACCCCACCTGTGCCCCCAAAACCCTACCATTTTTTGAAGAAAGACTAAGAAAGATGGAAAGAAAGAAAGAAACCTATAATTACCCTAAACCCTAAACCCTCAACCCGGAGCCGTAAGCTGATACAGATATAAGATAACCCGGAACCCTAAACAGGTAGGGTCTGGTCGGTTTCCGGAAACCCAAGGCCCCCAAGGCCTAAACTCCAAAGCCGTGAGGGGTTGGTTTAGGGGCTTAGGGGTTTTGGGGGGTTTAGGGGTTAAGCCCTAAACCCTAAACCGAAAACCGTGGGATTTAGGGGTTTAGGGTTTTCGGGGTTTAGGGCTTAGGGGTTTAGGGGTTTAGGGTTTAGGGTTTAGGGTTTAGGGTTTAGGGTCTAGGGTTTAGGGTTTAGGGGTTTAGGGGTTTAGGGGTTAGGAGTTCAAGGATGTTTCGTTCGCAGACTTGAAGCTTCCGTGAGACCGTTTTAAACCGCTCAGGCCACAGGTCCAGGGCACAGGATCGGCAGGGTTCAGGGATTTGTTTGGATTTGCTTCCAGGGTTTAGGGTTTGGGTTTAGGGTTTAGGGTTTAGGGTTTAGGGTTTAGGGTCAGGGTTTAGGAATTGATCAGGGTTTTCATAGAACCGACATAGCGTCGTGGAAGAGCCCTCCTAAAAACTTCTAGCAGCATGGTGGTGTCACAGCGACGAGACGCACCGGATTTCAACAGTACGGTACGCACAGAGAATATGGAATATGGGTTGGTGTTCTGGAATTTCCACGGCATCCTGTGGAATAGTATGGGCTTAGGACCTAGGACATTGTGGCTTTGATTTCGGGTTCAGCCAGCCAAGCGACCTAGCCCATTGCCACGACTGAGCCTCCCCAGCGAAGCCTCAAGCCGTTTTCTACAGGTGCAGAGTTTAGGGTATAGAGGGCTTCTGTAAGGCTTCCACAAGGTATATAGACCTCCTGAAAGGTTCCTATAACGGTAACTACCCACCGTAGAATGTCCTAGATACAAACCCCGTGACTTGCTTTCCCGGCGAGGGAAAGTCAGCAGCGGAAACGGGCCTGCCTGTACATGTCCGAGAAAGTGAACAAGATGGAAGCCGAAACCCTAAACCCCAAACCCTAGACCCTAAACCCTAAACTTGCTCCCAAGCTCCTGGAACAGAGCTCTGGTTGGAGCCAAGAGAAAGTGCAGCTGGCAGCTTGAAGGGAGGCAACCAGCACTAAGCTACGGTTTAGCGTTTCGGGTTTAGGGTTTGCAGAATGAAAACTCAATTCCTGAGCCTTGTAAGCTGGAACCCGAAACCCGAACGCTAAAACTCAAGCCCTGAACGCGATGTAAACAAACAAGCCTTTGCGGCACCAATAAATGAAACCCCTACAGACACCTTAGGTAGACCGTGATGAAACCCTAAACCCTGAACCGCCTAAACCCCAGAACCCTGATCCACAAATCCCTAATTGAATCCTTAAACCCAAAACCATGCATGACCCTGAATTAATAAAAGCTTTCGGAGCTTCCTGATGACTGGTTGGGGTTTAAGGATTTAGGATTAAGGGTTGAGGGTTTAGGGTTTAGGGGCTCCCGGACGTCCTGACGGCAATGTGCTGAAGTGAAGCATTAAGGTTTTAATGGCTTACTGTTTGGGAGTCTGCCATTATTGGTTTTATGGTCCAATGGTGTTCGGGGGGTCTTTCACCGGGGATTCTACAGGGTGGTGCTTCAATGGTGTTTGTTCTAGGGTTTCATGACGGTTTCCAGAGGGTTCATAAAGTGCGTGGGGCTTGCCTTAAGCATGAAGACGGTTTTGGTGCGTGTACATATTATAGGGCTTTCTGAGAATAGTGGCAAGCGTATAATTTATGTAGAGTGCTTGAGTGTTGGGTTTAGGGTATACCAGGTGGGTGCTGTATCACAAAACCCTCGTTTCATATACCTGAAGCTGCCATCACTGACGTTTTTATGTAATATAAAGTTTACATCCGAGCTTTAGAGAAGCCAAAACCCGAGGGTCTAAGCCCACTGCCTCCTAAGCCCTGTAAACCGAAGGCTTATAACCCCGCCCGAAACCGACAACAGCACATAGAAAACCTTCCGACAAGTCTATAAAATCAACCCTAAACCCTAAACCCTAAACCCTAATGCAGGATTCCGTGATTATCGACCTCAAGCCGGGCGTCTGGCTTACTCCCGAGGATGCTTCCATCGAAACAGGGATGGGCCTCATGATTTGGGCTTCGGGGTCTTTCTAGGATTCAAGGTAAACAAACGTACTAAACCCTAAACCCTAAACGCTAAACCCCACACCTACTAAGCCCTAAACCCTAAACCCTAAGGTTTCCAGTTTTGAAGTTTAGTCAAAACTTGCTGTTGGAGCTGAGATCAGCGAACTCCGGGGGCTCGTTTGGATTGAAGGTTTCGGCTGGCAGCCAGCAAGCCCAGTAAGCCCAGTTTCAAAAGGACTTTGGGGTTGTAGACTTTCTGGTTTTGGGTTCCGGGGGCTTTAGTAAACCGTAGGGCTTCGGGGCTTTAGGATCCTTGGCTCTCTCTGGCCTGTCCCGGACCCAGGAGCCCTGAGGTGATGACGGTTCGGGATTTGGAATATAGTCTAGGACATTTTCAGGTGGGTAGTTACTGTTATAGGAGCCTTATAGAAGGTCTATATACCTTATGGAAGCCTTATAGAAGCCCTATATACCCTAACATGGAGACGTTTACACCTGAAGCGTCACATCGACAGATCCTCGACATCAGCATCTGTCTATCGTGAATGAAGGGAGTCGTCGGAGGAAATAGAAGCCTTTCCCTCATAAGCCGAATACAACTGTACGACGATTATGGGAGCTTTAAGGGAGGGGGTTCTAAGGGCAAGGGGAGAGGGTTCTTTGCAGGGAACCCATGGGAGCCGTAGGAAGCACGAGGGAGAATAGGGGATTCTTGGGTTATATCAGTTACATACCCCCCCCCCCCCCCCCGGAATCCATCTCCCTTAAGTTTAGGGTTTCAGGGATTAGGATCGCATAAACCTACTCTGACATTTGCCTAATCCCTAAGCCCTAAACCGTAGGGTTCCCTAAACCCTAAAATCCTGAAAGGTGCCAGGGTTAGAAGCCCTTGACAGAAGAGTCGATGTAATTGGTTCAAAGCAGAGGCCGGAGTGTTGAAAACAGAACCTATGCAGGGGCTTAATACACTGTTGGTTTAGAGTTTAGGGGTTTGGGGTNNNAGGGGTTTAGGGTTTAGGGCAAGTACATTCGGATTACCAGGGGGATAGCTCTACCAGCTATTCAGACCTCCAATGATATCCAAGGTTGCGCAGGCAAACTAACAAAGGAATCCTGGCATAACTCATCTTCAGAGCATGTTGCACTTGCTGGAGTTTACGGTAGAGCCCAAATTCTGTAAATTGACATGGGTGTGGGGTTTAGGGTGAACCCTAGACCCAAAGCATTTGCAGGACATGAAGCATCGGCTGGTCCCCGGGAACACTTGCTGGTCCGTTGGCGCGAAGTGCCAGTACTACAGTCGCCCTGGCCTGTTCGGAGGATCGCTCAGTTACTACAATAATATACTATTCTCCCTTATCCCCCGAAGCCTAAACCATAAGCCGTACAGTGATAGACTATATTAATTATACCATTCTTCCCTAAACCCTAAGCCCTTATAATATAGTATACGATTACCCCTGAAACCCTAGAACCCTAAAGTGATATGTTGTAAACATATACCAATATCCCCTAAGCCCTAACCCTACAGTGACGTACTGGGAGCTACGATTATCCCCTACACCCTAAACCCTACGGTGATATACTATAACGTACTCTAATAGCGCTAGACCCTAAACCCTAAACTATGGCATGCTACCCCAAGGGTCCAAAGGACCCANNTAATCAGGTACTTAGGTTTCGGATATTGGCATTGGTTATGTAGGTCACCCTTGGGGCTATGGCTCAGGTTGAGGATGTCTTCGGGCCTCAGGTGCAAGATTGGGTTCTGGGGCTTAGGGGTCTAGGGTTTTGGGGGCTTGGGGTGTAGGGGTTTGGGGCTTAGGGTTTAGGGGCTTAGGGTTTTGGGATTTGGCGTTTAGGGCTTAGGGTTTATAGGGCTTTGGGGGTTTCGGGCTTTAGGTTTTTGGTTTTGGATTTAGGGCTTTAAAGACTCTCAGGGCTTAAGATCTCGGAGCCCGAAATTCTGGGAGCCCTACGATTGACTCTACTTGGAGCCCCAGGGGACTTAGTAAGTCGGTTGTATACCCTGGGCCTCCAAGTAAGCCGAGCGACCTCATCCCCAGAAGTAAGGCGCGATAGGACCCCTAGAAGGGACCCCTAATCCTAATACCCTATATAACCCTTATATACCTTTTATATAGTCTCATAAATACCCTAGATAACCCTTATATACCCCTTATACGGCCCCCTAAACCCTAAACCCTAAAGTCTCATACGGCCCCTATATAAACCCCGAGGGTCCCTTTAAGGGTCCCTCCTTTAGCCCCTTGACAAAATAGGCCCGAGCTGGCGGGGGACCCGGTTCCCAATCCTAACGAGCCTTAAGCCCTACTTGGAGGCAGAAGGGGACTTCGTAGGTAGGTTATAAGTAGGATTAGGGTTTAGGGTTCAGGGTTTAGGGTTTAGGGTTTAGGGTTTAGGGTTTAGGGTTTAGGGTTAGGGTTTAGGGATTAGGGTTTAGAGTTATAGGTACCCTAACTGGAGTTACCCCAATTATAACCCTACCTATAACCGACTTACTCCCGGGCCCCAAGCCCTAACCCTATGAAGATCTACTGTACCTCAACCCCGAACAATCTACCTGTTTTAGGGCTCCTTACTATGGTGTCCTTCTATCAGTCCTTGAAGAGGTAGGGTTATGGAGGTGAAGGTACTTGGAGGGTCGGGGGACTTAGCAAGTAGTTATTTTATAGAGTTATAAGTATCATAACCCCAATTAGGATCCCTTAAAGGGTACTTATAAGTCTACTTATTACCCACTTACTAAGTCCCCCGACCCTCCAAGTAAGTTCTAAGACCTCAGGCTAGACCCTAAACTGCTGAAGCCTTGCAGCCCGAGGGCCCCAAACCTTGTAAAGTCAAAAAACGCACTGCAAACCCTAAAACCCTAAACCCTAAACCCTAAACCCTAAACCCTAAACCCCAAACCCGAGCATGCCCGGTTTAGGGTTTGGGGTTTAGGGCTGAGGACTGGCTCCCTCTGGTTGGGATCTAGCTTCGTCTGTGCTTCTAGCACTCGCTTAGGGATATGTAAGCGCATCCTTCCAGCCTGAATCTACGGATGTTGCTTGGGTTTGTGCCTTCTTCATGGGATAGCCTTTCTAAGCCCAAAACCGTATCCCTATTCAGGAGCCCCTAAACCCGAACCATTATCGATCCCTTCTGGGACCCACAAAACGAGGTCGCGAAGATGGTTTCCTCTTGGACGCCACGGTGATGGACGGTTTAGGGTTTCAGGTTGAGGATTGTAGTGCTCACGGGGTTGGGATTTGGATTCGGGGTTTTTGGGGCTTCAGGGTCTAGGGTTGTAGATTGTAGAGGCAGGGCCAGGGGTGATATCTGAGGGTTGAAGTTTACAGGTTTGAGGCTTTCCGGAATGGAGCGCAGAGGGCTTTGTTGGATGATCAGAGGCCTCGGGTTCTGGTCCGGACTTTACCTTTTCTAGAGTTTAGGGTTCAGAGTTTAGGGGTTTACCTATAGTCTCCATTGTAGTTCCTTTTTGGGCTTACCTTTTAAGATCCTTAATATATAATTGGTTAAACCAAATACAAAAAAGAAACTACAATGGAGACTATAGGTAGGGGTTTATGCTTTAAGGACCCTGCGCTGTAAGTTGCGGCGGGCTGTAAGCTGCAGCGGCGAAGGTTTGCGGAAGCGTGAGCTCATGACCTTCGCGTGCCATGCACAAAGACCAAGCCAAGCCTGAAATCATAGGCAAGAAGTGATGTAGACGGTGTAGTCTGTAAGCCAGAAGTGGCCAGAATTATGATTCTGTAGTTCAGACATGCATGTCATGCATGCATGTCAGGGCACCTTATTTCTTCCATGGTTCGGAGCCGCACTGTTGCTCCACGAAGCTGGAATCTTCGCAAGCAGACAACTTACTGGTCGGGCGTCATGAATCCCCAACCAGCATCCCACAGCCCTAATGTAGGGGCCTTAATTAATAATTGGAATAGGGGTTCGGGGTATATTGGGCTATAAGTATATAAGGGAACCCCCAGAATAGTATAGGTAATTATTTAGACTTCTATATTATCACCCTCTCTGTCCAGGAGCTGGACGACAAGGGCAACGTGATCGTGGACAAGCGGTCCATTCCCCGGGTGATTACGGCCACAGCGTTTGGCATGCGAGTGGCTATCTGCAGCTGTTACTTTTTAAGGACTATGCCGCCAAGCCTCTCATTATTACCAGCGCTGAAGTAGGAGTAGTAAGAGTGCTACCCGTGTCAAACTAGTCTTGGTGCCATCGTACCTGTTACTACCTAGATGCTCGTTGTTGCCGGCATTGCTGGTACCCTAAACCCTAAACCCTAAACCCTAAACCCTAAACCCTAAACCCCATCTAGCCAGGCTGCAGATTGCCATTGTAACCCGACGCTGAGATAGAGGCTAAGTCAACATTGCCGGCTACGCATGACTTTAGGGGTTTAGGGTTTAGGGTTTAGGGGCGCTCTTTCAGTTGCCAGAAAGCGCTATGTCCGAACCCCTGAATGGTGACGAAGAGAAAACTATGCGATGACGATGATGATTATTACCAGGATGGTGATTTGGATGACACCGGCCTTTGGGCCTCGGCTTGGACTGCTCA